CCGGGTGCCCCACAGCGCGGGGGTAGCCTCTCCCCTGGGCGTGGTTAGGGAGAGGACAGGGCGGCTGTGGGGGCGGGCTGCGGCTCAGGGCTGGGCTGACAGCCCGGCCGGCCCAGGGCTCTGTGGCAACTTCAACGGCGACACGACCGACGACTTCACAACCAGCGTGGGCATGGCCGAGGGCACCGCTTCGCTCTTCGTGGACTCCTGGCGGGCAGGGAACTGTCCGGCCGCTCTGGAGCGTGAGACTGACCCATGCTCCATGAGCCAGCTCAACAGTGAGTGTCCCTGTCCCTCTCCCGCCTGGCCCACCCCAGCCAGCCCGGGTGGGGGGGTCCCTGGGAGAGGGACAGGGAGCGGGGACGGGAGACCCACAGCCGGGCTGTCGACCTCAGAGGTGTGCGCAGAGACCCACTGCTCAGTGCTGCTGAAGGAGGGCACCGTGTTCGAGACGTGCCACGCCGTGGTGAACCCCAAGCCCTTTTACAAGGTGGGGGCCTACAGGCATGTGGGAAGGGCTGTGGTGGCTGACAGTCTCAGACGCCCTTGGGGACGGGTTTGGGGGTCCCTGCAGCCCACCCACAGCCTCTCCCTGCCCGCAGAGGTGCGTGTACGAGGCCTGCAACTACGAGGAGACCTTCCCGCATATCTGCGCCGCCCTGGGTGACTATGCTCACGCGTGCGCCTCTCGGGGCATGCTCCTCCGGGGCTGGAGGAGCAGCGTGGACAACTGCAGTGAGTATGGGCAGACGGGGTCGGGCAGAGGGGCCCTGGCCATAAGGGAGGGGCCTGAGGAGGCCCCAGCTCTGCCGGGGGCAGCACCGCCCTGAGTTCCAGCCCCTCTCTGAGGGCCTGACTCTAGGGTCCCCCACAGCCATCCCTTGCACGGGCAACCGCACCTTCAGCTACGACAGCCAGGCCTGTGACCGTACCTGCCTGTCGCTGTCCGACCGCGAGGCTGAGTGCCACCGCAGTGCAGTGCCTGTGGACGGCTGCAACTGCCCCGAGGGCACCTACCTGAACCACAAGGCCGAGTGTGTGCGCCGGTCCCAGTGCCCGTGCCTGCTGGAGGGCCACAAGCCCATCCCGGCCGAGCAGTCCGCCGTGGTCAATGGCGTGATCTGGTGAGGCACCGGTGAGGGCGAGCCGCGCAGCGGGGGTGGGGCCCTGCCAGGGCCAGCGGGCTCACCTGGCTTCTCTCTTACAGTTACTGCACCAATGGGCGTCTGAGCTGCCCGGGCCAACAGCAGAGGCTCTTGGGTATGTAGGCGGCCCAAGGCCAGTGGACTGGGACCCTGAGGTGGCTCTGCCTCCGCTGACCTCCCCTTCCTGGCAGATTCCTGCCCGGCTCCCAAGACATTCCAGTCCTGTAGCCAGTCCTCAGAGAACAAGTTTGGAGCGGCATGTGCCCCCACATGCCAGATGCTGGCCACCGGCGTCACCTGTGTAAGGCGGGGCACGAGAGGGTTTCCACGCAGTCCTAGGGGAAGGCAGAGGGGCAGGGCCGCAGGGCACCCTCGTTGTCCCGCGCTGGTGGTGGTGGTGGGGGGGTGCTGGGAGGTAGAGTGGCCCTGCGGCTGGGCAGCTGGGGGTAGGGATGCTTGACCGTGGGCTCCGAGGACAGTGGTCACTCATGGACACCTAGCCGTGATGCACACAGGTCCTGGAGCTTCCCTGAAGCCCAGCTCCCAGAGAGACTCCAGGGTGGGGCGCCAGTGAAGGCCTAGGAGACACTGAGGGGTGGTGGGGTCTGAGAGGAGCCCCTGGCCTGCTGACCCTGCCTCCCCTCAGGTGCCCACGAAGTGTGAGCCTGGCTGTGTCTGTGCTGATGGGCTCTATGAGAACGCCAACGGCCAGTGTGTGCCCCCCGAGGAGTGCCCGTGTGAGTTTGCAGGGGTGTCCTACTCCGGAGGAGCTGAGCTCCACACGGACTGCAGTACCTGGTAAGTCAGAGCCTCGCCCTGGAGGCCCTGAGCTGCCTGCAGGGGCCACCTGGGCAGGCAAGAGGGGCTAGGAGTGGGGGATGTCCTAGAGGTGAGGGTGCTCCAGAGGTGGGGTCCCCCAGCTTTAGGGGCATTCCGGGGGGAGGCACCTTGGAAGTAGAGGTACCCAGAGTTGAAGGTGCCTGGAGTTAGGGGCATTCAAGGAGTGAGGGTCTCCCAGAGGTGGAAGCACCTCTGCAGTGGGGGTGTCCCAGCGATGGAGGTGCTTTGGCAATGGGGGGCCCTCAGAGGTGAGGCCTTCCGGAATTGCAGTAACCAGAAACCCCAGGACCTACACCCAGAGTGGGAGTGGGCTCGGCGCCTGCCCCCAGCCTCCCTCTCCTGCCCCAGCACCTGCTCGCGGGGGAAGTGGACCTGCCAGGAAAGCGCCAGCTGCCCATCCACCTGCGTCCTCTACGGGGAGGGCCACATGATCACCTTCGACGGGCAGCGCTTCGTGTTCGACGGCAACTGCGAGTACATCCTGGCCACGGTAACCACTGGGCAGCAGGGGCTGCGGGGCCCGCACAGGAGGGTGGCCAGGACGGCTCCTCAGGACCCGCTCCCTGCAGGACGGCTGTGGCGCCAACGACTCACAGTCCACCTTCAAGATCCTGACAGAGAACGTCGTTTGCGGGAAGTCCGGAGTCACGTGCTCCCGGGCCATCAGGATCTCCCTGGGGGTGAGCACCAGGCAGACCCTGGCCCTCCGCACTGGCCTCCCACCACCTGGCCCCATCTGTACAAGGGAGCACGCTGGGGCAAGGGACAGGACCAGTGGCCCTGACCTCCAACGGGCAGAGGAGAAGGGGTGCTCTGGAGAGCCTGGCCTCCAGCCCCAGCCATTCCCTCTGTTCTGAGCGCACGCAGATCCTTAGCCTGTGGTGGGCCCCGCAGACACCCCACACACACCCGTGATAACTGTGGTTGGATGGCCTAGCGAGGGACAGCCAGCCGCCAGGGGCGCTGGGGTGGGGGTGCAACCCTGGGCAGCCCTGTGACACCCCTCCCCCCAGGGCCTGTCCATCGAGCTGGCAGACAGGAACTGCACAGTCAGCGGGGAGGACCCCCACGTGTTCTTACGGGTGAAGCCCAGCTCCCTGAACCTCGTTCTGGACATGGGCATCCCCGGGAGGTACAACTTGACCCTCATCTGGAACAAGCACATGACTGTCTTCATCAAGATCCATCGCGCCTCCCAGGTACCCAGTGCGGGCTCCCTGCGCGCTTGGCCAGCCGGCGATAAGTCTGGGTGCTGACGCCGTCGTCCCCACAGGACGCCCTCTGCGGCTTGTGCGGTAACTACAACGGGAACATGAAGGACGACTTCGAGACGCGCAGCAAGTACGTGGCATCCGACGAGCTGGAGTTCGTGAACTCGTGGAAGGAGAGTCCGCTGTGCGGGGACGTGAGCTTCGTGGTGGACCCCTGCAGCCTCAATGCCTTCCGCCGCTCCTGGGCCGAGCGCAAGTGCAGCATCATCAATAGCCAGACCTTCGCCGCCTGCCACACCAAGGTGGGCCCACCCCGCATGCGAGGGCCCTCCCCCACACATGGCCAGGCTGGGCCCAGCCCAAGGAGGGGATGCCAGACCAGGTCTTGCCGCCACGAGGCTCACAGATCAGCCACCGTGCCAAGTGGTGAGGAAAGGTCACAGCCCCTGCCTGACTCACGGACATCCTGTTTGCTGCAGGGTGTTTAGCAGCACCTCAGCCAACCCGACTAGATGCCATGGCAGCCCCCACATAGTGCCATGAGTCCACTGGGGGCAGCGTGACCCCAGGGGAACCCCTGTCCGGAGCATGGGGTCAGGAGAGGAGACAGCCAGCTCTGCCCGGGTGGTGAGCTCCCTGGACCGGGGCTAGCAATCCCAGCCCTCAAACTCCTGCCATGGCCCCTGAGTGAGAGGATAAAGTACCCCCCAGAGATGGGGACTCCCCACAAGGCAAAGGCCGCAAGGCAGGACCAGCATGAGTGCACCCACCAGGCTCCGCACGCCCTGAGTACAGGGACGTGGGGCTGGCATGCAGGCCAGAGGGGCTGCAGAGGTGGTGGCTAATGGCACCGCGGCCCTGGGCCATGGCGGATGCAGGTCAGAACCTGTGTGGCTGCCCTCGCCGCGGGCCAGGAGCACTGGCTTTGAGAAAGTGGTCAGTGGTTGAGGGCTACAGTTCCCAAGTGCGCTGAGCCAGAACACATGGGCCTCGTCTGAGCCTCCCCACATGCCCGGGCTCTGCAGGCGGCAAAGCTTGCCCTCGGCCACGCCGGGGCAGCGCCGCTGACCAGCCGGCCTCCCGCAGGTGTACCACTTGCCCTACTACGAGGCCTGTGTGCGTGACACCTGCGGCTGTGACTCGGGCGGTGACTGCGAGTGTCTGTGCGATGCTGTGGCTGCCTACGCCAAAGCCTGCCTGGACAAGGGCGTGTGCGTGGACTGGAGGGCCCCGGACTTCTGCCGTGAGTGTGCCGCTCCCCCCGGGGCCTCGCCCACGAGCACCTCTCCCGGGCGGGCACTGGGCCACATCCCCCAGGGCCGCCCCGGCTGACCACCACAACCCCCTGGACCCCTGCCCCCGCGAGGAGAGGTCCTGGCAGGAGAACGGGAGCCTTCCGCACCCACGTTCAGGTCCCCACTCTGGGCACCACCCAGGGCTCCGCCTCAGCCTGGGCCGGCCTCCCCTCCCACCCCACTGACTGACGCGGCCTCTCCTGCCAGCCATCTACTGCGACTTCTACAACACCCACGCGCGGCTAGGCAGCGGCGACTACCAGTACACACAGGAGGCCAACTGCACGTGGCACTACCAGCCCTGTCTCTGCCCCGGGCGGCCACAGAGCCTCCCGGACGTCAACATCGAAGGTACCAGGCAGCAGGGGTGCAGCGCAGGGCCCTCCTCCAGCCACGCACACCCTTTCATGGATTCACACAGCTCGTTCACTCGTCTGCTCACTCGTCCGCCCGCCCTCCACCCGCTCACTCACCTGTGCACGCACTCGCTCGTCCGCCTGCCCTCCGCCCGCTCACTCACCTGTGCACGCACTCGCTCGTCCGCCCGCCCTCCGCCCGCTCACTCACCTGTGCACGCACTCGTCCACTTGCGCACATGCACCTCCAGGGCACGGGTTGCCAGGCCAAGTTTAAGGTGGCCCTGCTTCCAGAAGTCCCCCTTCTGGCCAAAGAGAGATACTTGAAAACAAAATAAGGAAGCAAAATACTGTCAGATGACATGCAAGACATGATGGAAAATAAGGCAAGGCAAGACACTGGGAGGGACACAGGGACTTCCACATCACAGAGTGGTCAGGAGGTAGACCTCTGGGCAAGGACTGGAAAGAGGGGCGGATGGGCCAGGAAGGTTTCAGGCAGAGGGATGGCAGGGCAAGGTGCCAGGAACCCCAAGGGTATGGGGCAGCAAGGGCAGAGTGGGCACAGGGCGTGTGGGGTGAGCGTGGGAGGGGAGGGCTGTGGGGGGGTGAGTGGAGGGTACGGCTGGGCTTGGACGGGGCCTTTCAAGGCTCACGCTTGCAGGTAGAAGTCTGAGTGGACACTGGAGCTGAGCTGACCAGGCAGCGAGGATAGGAGGCCGAAGGGTAGGGCAGGAGCAGGGTGACCACGAGGCAGGGTCAGGAAGACTGGGCGTGGCTGTGGCGCCTGCAGAGGAGGGGAGTGTCCAGTGCATCAGCGTGTGCCGATGGTGGGCTACACAGAGAAGCTGGGGCGGGAGTGAGGAGCTGCCCACACAGAGAGGACCCTGCGTCTGGGTCCAGAGGGGAGGCAAGGGCGGGATAGTCGTCCCAGGGGTCACCCAGCTCAGGCTGGTTTCAAGGTCCCAGCACAGCATCGTCCACGTGAGCAGAGGTGGGCTGTGGACAGAAAGGGGAGGAAGGAAGGTCTGGGGAGGCTTGGGTGGGGAAAGACGGGCAGACAAGGCCAGGAGGGGCCGGTTAGGACCACTGCAGTCCACAGTCCTGAGCAAGAGAGTCTGGCCTCGGCAGGGTATAGGCCACGGGGACTCTGACAGGTAACCCCAGGTTGGGGTGAGGCAGAGAGGAAGGGGACAAAGCAGGGCAGGGGCCAAGGCAAGGAGCAGAACACAGCAGGTGGGCCCGCTGGCAGGAGGGAGGGCCTGTGTGGGGTGGGCTTGGCTCCCACGCTGAGCCTGGCCGCTCTCACCGTAGGCTGCTACAACTGCTCCCAGGATGAGTACTTCGACCACGACAAAGGGACATGTGTGCCATGCGGTAAGTCCACCGAGCTCCCAGGGTCCAGCACCAGCACTGTCGGGCCACTGCAGGCAGCCTTACCTGGGCCCCGCACTCAGGCACCCCACACCTGGGAGAGGTGCCCTCAGGACTCTGAGCTCCTGCACTAGCCTCTGGCCAGCCCCACCAGCTCCACTGCAAGGGCTCTGCCCCTTTGGGGTGCTAGAACTCCCAGAGCCTCAGGCAGCTTCCAGCCACAACCACAGACAGGAAACAGCACAGCGCTAGCCTGGGCCCTTCCCTGTCCTCCCATCCCCAACCTCTACTCACCTGGA